GCTTTTGTGTATATTCGCCAGCTGCTTGTAGTTGTTGTTGCAACTGCTGCTGCTGCTGCTGTTGCTGCTGCTGTGGCTCTAGGCTGCTGCCCGTCTCATTGAGCGGCTCCGACTTGGATAGGGCATTGCTCACGCTTTGCACGGCCAAATAAACGGAATCATCATTATGCTCATAGTTAACTACATGCTGTTGTTGCTGTTGCTGTTGTGTAGGTTGTTCGGGTGTTGGCGTCGTTTCCATATCCTCGTTTTCGTTCTCCTCACCCTCATCATCATGCACCACATCGCCGTTTATATAGTTTTCTATATCCATTTCATCGTAACTGGCCACGCACAGCTCGCTGGGCTGCTGCACATTCTGCTGCTGTTGCTGCTGCATTGAGGCAGACAGTTCGACTTTGTGTGGTCCCGATAGCGGCGGCAGTGTGGACATATTAAGCTGGGATGAGCTACTGGGTGATGTATCCAAGTTGCTCGACTGCGGCTCGGAATGCTGCAATGGCGATTCGGCCATATGCTCCTCAAGTTCGTGCTTGGGCAGTAGCATGTTCAGCGAATCTCCATCACTGCAATCGCCATTAAACAAATCACAATTAGTTACTCGTTTGTAAACTCCGTATACATTTAACTACTCACAGCGACTTTTGTTGAATATATTTCTGTAGAAAGCCGAGGGAATCATAGTGCTTCCAACGCGACGTGGCGTCGATATGCACCTGCGTTTTCAGACGTTTGTACTCCCGCGCATATTGGTCCCGCAGTGCCTTCCACTTCTGCCGGCATTGCTTGACTATAATTATTATAAGATATATTTAGTACAATGTTGAATATTAAAATGCACTAGAATTTTGGGCAACAACCTGGCTTCTTAAGTTTTCGCGCTATTTCATCCCAGATTTCCAGCTTTAGTTTGACATTGCGATAGTTTTGATTGCTATAGTTGTAGATCATGTCCTCCTGCTGTATCAGTGTGATCAGCTCCTTCTCAAAGTAGCTCTCCATATTGAGAAATGTGTGTATTGGATCATCGTCCTCCTCATCGGCATTCGTTTGATGATTGTGCGTTGACGATTGACTCACAACGTTGGCAGCATTTACGCAGTCCACAAACTCATTGTAAAGCGTATTCCCAGAAGTCTGATTCGGCGTCTCGCAGGTGACCGTTATGGAGGTGGTAGAGCCAATGGCATTGCCACTTGCATCAGTCAAGTAATTCCAATTGGTTTCCTGCTGTGACGGCTGCTGCTGCTGCTGCTGCTGTTGCTGCTGTTGCTGCTGCTGCATGATTTGGCTAGCGAAGAATGCGTTGATGCCGCGCGACGTATCCGGTTTCTTATCAAGAGCATCCGTTACTGTTGTCACCGTCGTTGTTGATGTCGGCACAAAGCTGCAGTTTTCCAGCAGCGAGCTACTTCGTTCCTCTATTTTGATGTTGGCAAATTTGCCGCATTCGGTGGTCAGATTAAGATTTTGGCTGCTGCTATTGCTGTTGCTAAATGAATTGTTATTGACGTTGGCCCTGCTGCTGTTCGTGGCTGTGCTCATATTGGGCAGCGACATCGACGACAAATTTCCATTGCTGTTCTGCCCGCCACGTGATCGATAGCTGCAAGTGCGCATTTATAGACACAGATGTGACATAGAAATTATGTGTCCGTACGTGGCTCAACTTACTTGCGTGAGAGCGCATAGGGACGCAGAAAGTCCAGCTCCTTGAAGTACTTCCATTTGACGTTGCCTTTGGTATTCGTTTTGGAGCGTTTAAGCTCGCGGCAATATTGGTCCCTCATGGCCTTCCACTTGGCCTTACATTGAGCATCTGTTTGTCGACAATAAACTGTTTAGCATTGATTTATAATTAAAAAGGGCGGCACAGCCATATCACCTGTCCAGCCGACATGGCTGCCAATTTCACTCCACTTTTCATCCTTGCTCTTAGTGCTGCGATAGAGCTGATGCTTGGGATTGTAAAGAGCCTGCTCCTGCGATACCATCGATATGAGGATTAGTTCCTTGGGTATGTTTACCACATTCTCGCAAAGGCTGTCCATGCTGCTGAGATTTACAAGCTGTGCCTGTGCCGCGACGCCAACCAGACTTCCCGCGTGCTGCTGCTTCTGTTTTAGCATTTGCGCCACATCCTCGGCTTTCGTCATATCCGTGTCCATGGGGCTTTGCCGCTCGAAAGGCAGCGAAACGCGTTTTATATTAACAAGGGTTTCAGATTGTTGTTGCTGCTGGTGTTCCTGCATTTGCGCCACTCCACTTGCACATGGTATGGTTTCCATTATGCGCTTTAAGATTAGTACCTGTTCCTGCGGCTCATTTTGGCGACTGGCTGTTGAGTTAATTATTAAAATCAAATGCAGCAAATCCTTGCGGCCACAAATTCTCTTGCGACTGAACAGCTGTCAAATAGCACGCTTAACAGCTGTGCGTTTGTGCTCGCTTCGTATCGATATATATCGATTACTTTTGCAATACTAAGTTACGTATATTATATGTATTATCTCTTATTTTCCATACAAATGACAAATGACAAAATAACTGTCACCAGTTTTGGAGTTTTTGTTAAACTTGATAAAAATAAAATCTTAGCTTGCGCTACCTGAAAGATCGATTAACATTCTGTTAAGCAGGCACGAGTATTTCTGTTAAGTGACCATGCAGTGCTGCAAAGTGCTAAGTTCTGAAGAGTTGGCAGCCCTCATTATTGCGCATGCGTGTGTTTGTAAAGCGCGCGCAGGTTTTGAATATTTCTGAAGATGTGTAATTGCTTTTGTCCAACTACTAATCCAATTAGTTAATTGCATTAACGTCTCGGTTAGTATCATAACAGTGTAACTTAAATATTTATTTCGACATTAGTTTGTGTTGCGACGCGTTCTTGATTGGTCTTGTGCGCTGTAACGTTTATTCGCTGCGATTTAAAATTTAATGCGCAATCATGCCGAAAATTGATCCAGAAACCCAAGGCCTCTACGATGAGATCAATGGCATGATACAAAAGTTTAAGGTTACACCTTGATAATCTCTTTAAGAATTATAAAACTCTTAATTCCATCTAATTGTTATTTAAATTCCCTAGGATGATCAAAATGCTAAGGCGGATTGCACACTGGCAGACAAATGCGGTGACATGGGCGATGTGCCCAAAATACGATTTTCTTCGAAAAAGATCTTAAAAGGGCACATAAACAAGGTGAACTCGGTGCATTTTGCGGGCGATTCACGCCACTGTGTCACCGGCTCATTGGATGGCAAACTGATCATTTGGGACACCTGGACGGCCAACAAAGTGCAAATTATACCATTGCGCTCAGCTTGGGTAATGACCGTTGCTTTCTCGCCGTCGGGCAACTTTGTGGCCTGCGGTGGCATGGACAACCAATGCACCGTCTACGATGTGAACAATCGTGATGCCTCTGGAGTGGCCAAAATGGTGCGTGAGCTAATTGGCTATGAGGGATTTCTAAGCTCGTGTCGTTTTCTGGATGATGGCCATTTGATAACCGGTTCGGGTGATATGAAAATGTAAGTTGACAACAAGTTCAGGCATGCTGGCCTATTAGGCCTGACTATTCACGGATTACAGCTGCCACTGGGATTTGGAGAAGGGCGTCAAGACTATGGACTTTAATGGGCATGCTGGCGATATTGCGGGTCTTTCATTGTCACCCGATATGAATACTTATATAACCGGCTCAGTGGACAAAACTGCCAAGTTGTGGGATGTACGCGAACAGGGACACAAGCAAATGTTCTTCGGTCACACCATGGATGTGTCCTCCGTTTGCGTAAGTTACCCAAAATTATCTGCCTATTGTTCGATTCCTTTTCGATTTGCATTTGTGGTTTCCAGTATCATCCAAGCGGTTTTGGCTTCGCCTCCTGCTCGGAGGATCAAACGGCACGCATGTACGATTTGCGTGCAGACCAACAAATTGGACTCTATGAGCCGCCCCAGAAGAACACGGGCTTCACCTCGTGCGGTGCGTGTTACCATTATTGTTGTTATGCTTTTATGCTTCTCTTTTGTGCTTCTTGGTTCGCCTTGACTTTAGACAGTTTCTAATCTGATTTTGTGCCCATTAGCTCTATCGACCAGCGGTCGCTACTTATTGTGCGCCGGCATTGAGGGCAGTGTGCACTCGTGGGATGCAATGAAGCAACGGCACACGGGTAGGTGGCAAACGTGGACGGCTTCAATTGCCATTTGACTGGTATTGATTTTCGTCATTTACCATTTTCGTTGTCTCTTTCGCCAGGCACGCTGTCTGGACATGAAAATCGGATAACTTGCATCAGCCTGTGCCCCAATGGCATGTGTCTAGCCTCGACCAGTTGGGATCAACAAGTGCGCCTGTGGCTCTAATTGAGGCACATTCCACTTTCGACACTCCACACTTGGTTCAATTTACATAGATTAATGGCATTATTAAAAAATCTTTGTAGCTTATTACTTGGAGTAACAACCACATGATATTGAGAATAAAGTGCATGAAAAATTATCACCAAAATATCCAGGATGATCGCTTAAACGCGAGCTTAGGTAAATTTGGTAAGGATAGCTAATACAGTAGTAGAGACATATATTTTTATCCAGCCAAAAATTCATTGACGCTTCATGCATGCAAGCATACATACATGCAAGCATACATGCATGCAAGCATACATGCATGCAAGCATACATACATGCATACAAGCATACATACATGCATGCATAAGTACATACATGCATGCACTCATATATGCATGCATACATAAATACATGCATGCATGCAAGCATGTATATATGCGTGCGTACATACATGCATGCATAAATACATGCATGCGTACAAAAATACATGCATAAATACATATGCATACCATAAATACATATCAACCAAAGCCTGAAAAACTTTTTTCAATCCATGAGTACGCAGAGAAGGGCAATATTAAAGGGTAGGTAAAAAGGCATAAAATTGGTATAAGAGGGCATGAGTAAAAACACACATACATACATACATGCTAGGAAATATATGCATACGAAAATACATGGAAAATAAAAAGGTACTGTTCAATTATCCATTCGAACTTATAAATCATTCATAATTCAAGATGAAAGAATTACTACGATGCCTTCTACGAATCTTACTAATCTCTGAGGATTTGATGCAATGGATATTGTGGTATATAAGACTCCAAACGTTGATGGCGACGCAGTGAGCATTCCTGATAATCCATCCATTTTACATACTTTTTGTCATGGCACATCTCCGAGTTGGCCTTGATGAACAGATCGTGGCGCAGTTCCATGTAGAATGCACGATTCGAATGCTCGTGCTTATGTACATGACGATCAAGCCATTTCATCACCTTGTGCTCACCATATGGAATAGTGGTACCGGTGCAGACAGTGCTCAACTTGATGTTTATGGGATCATAATTCTTTACTGGATTTGAGGCAACGCTAACACGTTTATTTTCCTTGCGGTCCTTGGTGTGTCCGGCGTCCATTAGTTGATTGCCAAATGTTATAACCCATGGATTATATTCCAAGGGACCGAATTGATCCTCGCTAACTTTAGTCACTGTTTTCTGCTTGCTTGACATAGTAGTCTGTTTTTTTTTTGCGCTTAGCGTCCTCTTATCTGCTTTCAAAAACAGATCTTTTTTATTCAGTTCGAGCTCCAACTGTGAACCGTCCTCTGTTCGTCCGAAATATGACATTCTGCTCCAATTAAAATCGTCTGTGGGTCTTGCTTCCGGTACGCTTACCAATTCAGGTATGTTAAGGGTTACCTCTGTTTCCTGTTTGCCAGATATCGTAGTCAGTACACTTCCTGAATTTCTTTTCGCATTGGGCTCTATCTCGAAAAGGTCCTCTGTCGGTCCATTGAAATCGACCGTGGTTCTGGCTATCGGTAAGCTTACCGCTTCAGGTACCATGAAAAGCTTTTAAGCACATATAAGTTGGAAGCAGTTCGATCCAAGCATATACACAATACCTACACAGTAAAAAATCCCAAATAAAAAAACATGCAAATTTAGAGTATTCATCTCTGTCACTCTGCAGTATTAAAGCTCAAAATGAAGATTCAGTTGTGGCCCTTTGTGTAATGTATAAAAGTATTAGAATTAGAATTTACTTTGAGTGTAAAAGTTCTGTGTGATGTGTTTTGAAAAGAAGCTTTTGCATGTTTAGAAAATTTACATCGCAAGGCTAACTTGACTAGTCAAAATCGAGGCTCCAAACCTGCTCTCAATTGGACCGGTTCGAAACCGAAAGAAATGTGATTTGCTTAAAAAATAAATTCTAATAGTAGGTGCATATATATATATATGACTTGCATATATCTAAGTATAATTGGCAGATGCCAATTTTGACTAGAAATAAAATTTAGCCCACAACTTCTATATGAAAATATATAAGTGATGCAATATTTTCAGTAGAACGGGCAGTTATAAATTAAAAAACATTTTAATTAAGAACTAAGAACATGTGATATCGAAATTTAAAAGCCGAAGTTGAAGCCAGCGAGTTGGTTCCAACCATAATCAGACTTTGATGCAGCTCTAATAAAAATAAAAGGAAAATTTTGATACGAAGAGAGCAAAGGAACAGATTTTCCGCTGCATGCAATTCAAAATAAATATATTGGTTTATTTCCTGTTAGATTTGTAATTTGAAATAAAACTAATAAAATAAATATATGTTTTTTTTTTTTAATATATTTTTTATATTTTTCTTATAAAAAATACTTATATAATTACAAAGAAATTTAGCTGCTGCGAGTTTTTGGCGCGGTTTTTTGTGAAAATTGTTTTTTTTTTATAACAAAGTAGCAGCTTTTGTTGATGTTTTTTTTTTGTTTTGTGTAGTAAATTAAAACAATCCACTTTATCATTCAACATTATCAAAAGAAAGAAAGAAAAGTGGGAATACAAAACGAGCTGTGAAAGTAGAGAATGTTGAGAAAAGACGAGAAATACGCAGGAATAGAATCAATAAAAAGAAAGATTTGCATAAATAATAGACGGAAGGGGAGCAGAAAGCAGAGCAGAGCAGAGCAGAGGAGAGGGAAGGGAGATAGATACATTTATTGCATTGTGTAGGTTTTTTGTGTTTAGTTTATCAGACTCTCGGTTGAACTACTAATGCGTCGTTCTCTTGTTTTGTTTTTGTTTTTTTTTTTTTTTGGAAAGGAATTAGAAAGAGAGCTGTGCTCTGGCCTCGGCTTAAACGGAGAAGCCATCGCCAGTGGGATCGAGGATCCAGGGATAGTTATTGGGGCACTCCATGCAGGTGAACAGACGCAGCGTCTCGCCGGGCAGCTCGCGTGTGGTCAGCGGGCAGGCGTTGGGCAGCGAGCAGTAGGGCTGACCCTTGACATCGCATTTCTCCTTCCACTCTTGGAAGTCGCGCAGCGAATTGAGCTCTGTGGGATTCTGCATCCACTGAATGACCTGCAGATTGGTCACAAAGAACACATCGTTGCGTCCCAGCATCTCCTCAATGAACTTGATCAGCTCATCGCGATACTCCTTCTTCGACTTGAGCCACGAGGCATGGAAGTGGAGGCCAAGAGGGGCGCGGTTGCTATTGTAGTGGCGATTGAAATTGTGGCGCAGCAGACGTGCGAACTGCTCGCCAGAGGCGACGTTCGAGCACGAGTCAACCATGTGGCAACCGGGCAGCGACTCATCAAAGGTGGGATCATCGCGACGATCCAGCTCATTCATAACCATCTCCCAGACGGGATGGCTACGCGATGGGCAGTTGTGGGCATTGCCATTGCACTTGTGCGGCATACGGAAGTACAGGGTATATGGCCAGATGGGCACGCGACCCAGCGAGGCGGTAATCGAGGCATCGTACACAAAGAACTGATCCGCCATCATCTCGAACTGCTTGTTGCCACCCACACGCAGGTAGGGTGCACGCATGCCAATGATGGAGCCATCTGTGATGTTAGCGAAACGCTCGACAATCAAACGGGAGCCCGCCATCTCGGCCAGCCAGTCATCGTAGCTGCCGCCCGTCCAGTAGTTGGGATCATCCTTGTGGGTCAGCGAGAAAACGGAGATCTCGTGTCCGCGACGATGCAGATCCTGCACAGCCGAGTAGTTGGTATACTTGTGCGAGACAAAGAATGTACCCTTGATGGAGCAGCCATTGGGATTCTGGTGCTGGCCATTGAAGATGTCATCGTACAAATCAATATTGTCCACATTGACGGCACCGTTGAACGTAATGGTGATCATCTGTGGCACCTGCTGGGGCTCAATGCCGCCGGGAATGCGTGTACCGTCCGCGGAGCAGAAGCAATCGGGCAGAGCGCACTGCGTCGGATCGCACTCAGGTGCACGGTTGGGATCCTCATCAACAGCTGCCAACAGAAATGCGCGTCAGTTAAGAAACTGTTTGGCCTGGGCATGCACAATTATTGTCACTTACAGCAGGCATTCTCATCGGACTCATCCTTGCAGTCGGACTTGCCGTTGCAGAAGAGCTCCTTGTCCAGGCACTCGCCATCGCCGCAGGAGAGCTTGCCATCGGGACAGATGGGCTCATCTGTCTTCAATATGGGCTGCGCCTTGCGGGGCTCTAGAGAAGTGGGTGAAGAATTCCTATGTTAGATTTTGGCGCAGGACTCTGATTTTGTTGTGGCGTGTTAGTGACAATAAATGTCTAAATTTTGAAGTGAGAAGTATACACGTGATTGTGAGGGAGGTTAGGATTGTTGTTTTTTTTTTTCTTGTTGTTGTTCTTCTTGTTCCAAAGTTCACTATATCTATATATATATATATACATCTGTCCAAGTGCTATGTACAAATGTGTTTTTTGTTTGTTTTTGTTTTGCTGGCTTGCAGACAATCGGGACACTTACTCTCTTTCTCATCGCAGTTAGTCACCTTGGCCTTCCAGTCGCAGGTCTGCTTAATAACGTCAAAGGCCAGGCCGGAGGGACACTGAATTTCTTTTAGGCCCGACCTAGTACATCTAAAAAATAAAGTTGTTTTTGTTGACACTTTTCGTTGTTGCTTTTTTTTTCAGTTTTTTCTAAACTAATTTTATTTTGCTAGCTAACAGAACTTTGGCACTTTCTTTTCGAGGAGGGTTTGGCGGAGCTTGGATTTGGGTTTGTTTTTGTTTAAACAAATGCAATGAGACGAACGTTTGGTTTTAGTTACAGATAGATACAATGAACTGTGTGACAAATGCACACACTACACACACAAGCACACACACACTCACACACACACACACACACCTGCACATAGAGATAGATAGATATAGATAGAGAGAGATAGACATACAGAACAGAGTGTTAGACATTGTGTAGGAGAGTTTTGGGTGGCACAGAGTCGAGCTCTTCGAAGTATACTTTTGGGCTCTCGGCTCAATGCCTGGCACGGACACACCCCACTTACTTTGATCGATATCGCAATTCTTAACATTCGTCTTCCAATCGCACAGCTGACGCAACACATCGAACGCCAAGCCGCCGGCACAGCGGATCGGTGCCAAGCGATTGCTGCCATCTTCTCCGGCACTGTCGCACCTTTAGTTTCATTTTTTTATTTATTTTTTTTTTTTTGTTTTTTTTTTTTTGGAGTAAGTGCAATAAAATTGTTGATGTGAAAACAAAACGAAAACCCCAAAATTATCATTATTTTCAAAGACTGCAGAACGAGAGGTTTCAGTCTAAGAATCTATGACTAAATGCTTACCTGTAAACTTCACGGCAATCGCCCTCCGTATCTAAACGGAAATATTCATCAGCGGGACGATCCGCGCACACTTCTTCAACATCAACGCCCTCGAGCTTGTCCTGATGTTGGGCTAAGAGAAGGGGCAATAAAAAAAAATTAATTAATTAATTGGATTAAGCACTTCAATTTTAAAATCTTGTGTTAACACTTTTATAATGAAAGTATTTTTTTATATTAAATATAAATACTTTATTTATTTGTTAATCATTTAAACTAAAATAACAAAGACTTTCTCTAAAAGCCGTCAAAGAATTTTTGGCAATTTTTTTACTTCATATTTGGAAATTTATATAATTTTTTATGTTTCTTTTTATATACTTATTAAATTTCAATAAATAATAACTGTTCAGCTCTATAGTTAAATGTAAATTTGTTTTTTAAAGTTTCTTGGCAAATAATTGTGGGATTTTAATGTTTTTGGTACTCGTTATATTGTCATTATTTAATTATGCGCATAATTAGTGCTAATCGACAGCTCGAAGCATTTATGGCCTGTTCGCACTTGTTTCATTTTTTTTTATTAATTCATTTTTAAGCGGCCCCGGGCAACAGCAGACCAACGCTTAACCGGTTTACTCTAAACGACTTCTAAAAGCAAAACAACTCTCGTTTTTGTTACGTTTTCTACTTTTTGTATACATCTATCATCTCGCAGAGTCGGCAAACGCAAACGAAAGGGCAAGCGAAATTGCGACTGCCCGAAGTGTAAGTGAGAGACGTCTGCTAATGGAGCCTGTTGTTTACATGGTAAGGTGTAACTGCTGTCGCCAAACTGGTTTGTGTATTGGCTAATGGCTGTTGTTGCTGCTGTTGTTGTAGCAGCAGTCGAAACACGTTTGCAGTTTAACTTAAAAGGTATTGCATAAAAAACCTGGGGAGTTGTCGCCTCCAAAAATAATAAACGGAACCAAACGCGTTCGTATCAAAAGTTGCCTATGCTAATTTTTTTATGGCCAGCTCCGGCATCAGTTTGGTCTCTTGCCACAGTTTCTTTTTCCTATTATTTGATTTTTGTTTTCGTATTTAAGGAAACTGTTCAACTTGCAACAGCACTGGATCGACTGATCGAACCATTAACTATTGCATGTTGCTAATAATTTATAACAGCTTTGACACCTTGCTATATTTTTCAAGTTTATTTACCTTGGCCAACGACTTCTCTTTTATTGATTTCTTCTTGTATATCTTTTTGTTTTGCTAATTTTGCGCATAAAGAAACACAAATATTTATTCGCTGCTTATTCAGCTGGTAAAGGTCAAGTGGGCCGCCTGCCAACGTGGCCAACTCCAAGTCTAGCTTATATCTACTTATTTATGTATGCATGATTATAAAAATAATAAAAAAAAAACTATATATATATATATATGCACTCGGATTGCTTTTGGTACTTACCAGCTGCACAGCAGAAC